AGAGATGGGCTGGTGGAGAGGGAAGGGGAGGAAGTCAGGTCGGGGAGGATTAAAATGATGGTTCTACTTGGTTCAAAACACTATGTATGGAACAACAAAAAAAGGGGCAGAATAATGCAAACAGCAAAAAGCCACAAAAACAAATTCAAGGAAAGACTGTGCAAGTAGAAAAAATTGCAAGAAAGAGCAATGCTCTTGTCATTCTGGCACACTGACTGAAAACTTTCAGTTGCACACATCTATCCATCTCTTTGAAAATCGAGGAAGAACCCGTATACAACTGCTTTTACTAACTGACTGACAATGTCCAAGTCTGTCCAATGCTAGTCACCACAGTGAGTACGGTAACGCTGAGTAGGTTGAAAGAACTGCTAATTGTGAGCTAGTCTTTCTAACAGTATATTGCTTCAATTAAATACAAGCTTACCGATTAGTGGCACAAAACTCCTACACCTTTCTGGGTCACTTTCGATAATTTGTCACAAGATGAAAGCGAGGGTGTCGTATTAAGGACAGGACAGACTTGTCAAGAAGTGGAAGCTTCCTCTTTTCATGGTACAGCATATCATTCAAGGTCTGGGCTCAGGTTCAGGCTTGGGTCTCTGGTCTATCACTTACTAGCTATGTGAACTTGGGCAACTAACTTAAGTTCTTGCAGCCTCAGGTTTCTCATTTTCAAAATGAGAATGACAATAACCATTATTTCTGATCATTTTGAGGTTTAAACGAGATCTTTATAAAACATTAACATAGTAGACCACCTAATAGAAATTCTTCTATTTAAAGCAATAAAGACTTCCTTCCAATGGCATATGGAAAAGTTAAGATGCAAGGAGGTAAACTGCCTTTCCCACAGGGACTGGTAAAGAAACTCAGGTACCTGAATCATAGTGCAAAATATATTACCAGGAAAGGATCTAGGGTATAATATCAAATTGCTCTTTTCTTAATTAATTTTAATTTTAAAAAAAACACTGAATATATCTCATATAATCAATCTCTAACAGTAACCAGAATGTCCCTCTCCTCGTTTTATTTGTTCATATAAGAGATAATATTAGGACAGAAGGCTATCCTAATGGCCAGCCCGTTTTAAACACCTAGAAGAGAATTTATATGAAAGCCATGTTCTAAACATAAAGGCAACACATTGTTTATTTGCATCACGACCTTATCTAGGAACATTTTTGGGACAAAGAGCTTGCTATTTGTGCTGGGCTTCACATACAGTACACTTGTCCTAGAGGTTTTCTGGAAGAGAATAGTAAAAATTATTTTGAAAGAATATTGACAGGAAGCTTATCTGTCTCTAAATAAAAGTAGAAAAGCTCAATCCAATGAAACTAAATACCTCAGAAATTGAACCACAGCTTCAAATTCAATGCCACAAATGTGGATGGCACTGATGCAGAGAATTCAATTCTCTGTTCCCTTGAAGAAAACGAACAGTACATGTACGGCGACACAGGAACACAACAATTTAGTTCTCAGAGACGCGAGATGGAGCTAACCGCATCACAGTTAGACATACCAGAACAATTTTCCATTTGCAACATTTCCATTTCCCAAAACGCTTTTGTGAGAAAAAATCTCCCCAAACCAGCTATCTTAGAGTCTCTCACGGCATGAGCAAAATTAATTTCAGCAAGGTCAACTTACCAACTCTATCACTTCTACATTTCGAACTGATGGGTCGGGCGCCACCTCTGGCCAATTAGATAATTCCAGGTAGCCGGTAGCTTTAGTGTTGAGAGTGTGAGATAGGGTGCCAAGCTGGAAATGATCCCTATCTATTAAAAATGGAGGGAAATGTCAAGTAAACAATATGAGCTGTATATAACACAGAACAATCCCAATCAGAGCCCAAGGTAATTGGCGTATTACTTCAAATGTCAAGGAATAAATATAAACTAGGAAGCTCTTCATAGGTCAAAAAACTGATTTTGGTCCATAGATGACAATAATCTCCCCCATAATGGTCAATAAAAAAGCTAATCAGTCAGTGTGTTTAGAGGTGTTGCTCTGAAATGTAGCTTCTCTGAAAATTACTTTACTGTGAATATTAAGAATGACAGCACCGTGCAACAATCCATATGCATGTCTTGGCACAAACACATCCAGAATGTTAATAGTACTTCCACAAAGCAGAACCGCTTTAAAATCATGTCATGATAACAATTAAGTAAGAAGCAATATGAAAACTCAGGTATGGAATCATCTTATTCCAACTGAAATGGCCACTTGTTAAACTGGTAAGATATTTAATTGCTTCTTTTTAAAAAATTATTTAAAAAAAGCGAATTTTCCCTTTGGAAACCCAAAGTAAACATAAAAGAGCTTGTTTCTGAATAACTCCTCCTAGAAAGAGTTAAGTTCATTACATAAAGTATGCAATGTATCACAACTCACTATAAAACTGAATGATCTCTCTTGGAAACGTAAAGGCGTCTAATGTAAAATAGGAATGAAGCTGACTGACTGACTACAAGAGGAACGTGGCTTTTACCTAGTGTTCAGTTCAGTTCAACCCTTAGTCAGAATGCAAATTAAATCATAAGGCTTGAAATTATTTAGGTAAATAATGTCTAGAAAAACATAAGCTGAAACGAATATGAAACTTGCTCTGCTACAGACAAACGGGTAGGAAGCACTGGTTCGCATAAACGGATAATGCTAACGGTTTGTCTTTTCTAAGAGATACATTTTAAAACACATTAGAAAAAAAAAAATAAAACACATTAGGAACGGGACAAACTGCCACCATTTCCCCCCCAGCTAAAAGATTCTGCTGCCAGGCGGTCTGACAATACTACCTTTGAAAGGAGACTCAAGCAGTGGAGCCGGTTTTTGTGCGAGGAATATTTTTTTGGCATATTTACTTAGAGCGCCACTCTTCTCGTTCGGAACAATCAGCTGCCTAATAAATCTTGTACGGTCTCTGATGTCGTAGTTTTGATCATACTTGCCGAGATTTAATATGTACTGGGTAAGCAATTTTGTCTGTTGGGGGGGGGGGGGGGGGAGAAGGAAAAAAAACACAACATACCAGAACAAGATGAGAATACAGTTATTTATGATTATTGATAACTCTGGATAAACATATTTAAAGAGGTAATAAAAATGAATGGTTATGTCAAACAAATGTTGTTCCGTGGGGAATATGCATTGCGAAGGCTGCAAATGGAATTCTGAAGCCAAGGCACATGTCCTCTTCTGTACTGGGGAGGTGAATGCTGAGGACTGAGAAGCAGCCATGTGCTAGATTATTAAACTGCTGAAGTGGAAAGAAAGGCATCATTAAAAAAATAATCATATATGGCAAACCCGCTGAAGGGTCTACGTGAGAATAATGAATGTGGAAATACAACTAAAAACATGGCACTCAAAACTTAATCGGAAAAATATGCAGGACATCAAAACATCAGAGAGTATTAGGGGCTGGTAAACGGCTTCTCCCGCGGTGTGCTTTATGAAGAGATACTGCCCCGGCACAAGCAGTGTCTGCACTCTGACTGCACTCAGTTACTTTACCCTGAATTATGACCCATTAAAGCAGACACATGAATCACTGAACTGGATTACTGCAAATTATTTGCAGTGCATTTAGCTGTTACTTTTTTATAAAAGCAAGCTGCTGATGCCCTCTAAAAACTAGGATAAAAGACTTCTCCCTTTTTTTTTCTCCCAGGCTGCTTAGAGCCTCCAGTAATATTGGTCATTTATTTATTTATGTAAGGGAGCAACTTATTATAACAGCTTTTACACCATAATAAGATTTCCTAATTCAATTTTTGAAGGGACTACATTAACATACATTGAGATAATTTTAGTGATAATTAAGCCCAAATTGAAATGTTAACAACATAGCAGGTTGGCGTGTTAAACTCTAAGTCATGCTACCGAACCACAGGGTTTTAACTGAGATATCTACGCACACACTTGGAATTTGACGTGAAACAAGATTCAAAAGACCTGGGACAAACCAACGAAGAAACAGTCCATCACCGGCATTAGAACATTCTTTCAAAATTAGGAAAAGGATGAAAATGAATTCCAGTTAGGCGGCGTCAGAGACGCTTTTAGAGCCCTGAGTCCAGGAACAGGAACGGTGAGGTAAACGCTCGCGCGGTAATAATTGGTGATGATAATTAATCTAGATAGAAAGCCACCTTCTTCCAGCAGCAAGGTATTTAACAAAACAAGCATTAACCTAGTTTTATTGAAGCAGAATTGCATAAAATACAAGCAAAAATGTTAAAAGAGCTGTGCTGAACTCGGTTACCAACAATTGTTTACTTGCTAATTAACAGACGAAGTTGATTCAAGGACAGAGAAGAAAAAGTCTGATTCATTTTAAAAGGGCCATTAGCAAAACAGTCGCTAAGTGAAGAACAAAGCCAGAGACCAGGTTAAACAAAAGGGTGACACACCCATGTCATTAGTTTCCTGCGGAAACTTGGGAACCACACTGAAATTACTGTTTTCAAATGACAGGTGAGAACTGACCACTTGGCTAATGCTAAAGTCTGTTTGAGGGTTGTATCTTGGAACCCACAACGGAAACAAACCAGAGAGGGCAATTAAGCTGCCTCACTGCAATGACTTCTCTGAGCCTAAAAGTGCCAAACAGTGGGTTCATGTTTCATGTGCTGAAAATTAATACTTAGGAAAGTGCACCAACAGACACCAACGACAGCGAGGCAGGGTATTTAAGGTGCACTTAAAAAACATACCAAATTTGTTTTATAATAATGGTGGACTTTTAAAACCATATTAATTTGGAAAAAACCTCCAAAATTAAGAGATTAAAAAAAATTTGTGTGCCTTAGAGGCATTAAATATATAAGCAGAAGAATTAATCTTTGCACATTTATATACTTCAATCCAATTGCTTAGCTGTATCTATTCCTAATACCAAGGTACTAATATTGTTTTGCAGTCTGTATTTAACATGACATTATTTTGTTTAAGCTCTTGAAAATCTAAAACTGACTGCGGTCTTTCTTAAAATTAAATTCTGTTATTAACAGTTGTGAAATTGTTGATATTTTCAACTTCTCCTTTTCTATAGACCAAGTTAGAGAAATCACGTTCTGTATAGTATTGAGAGTAACCTGGAAAAGTCAGGGGGCAAAAAACCCCAACTCGGTTAAACAAAGGATCTTCTCATTTCTATTTTTTATGTGGAACTTTGTCAATACAGTAAAAGCCTACAAAAGGCGGAGCCTGTATAAGGCTCTCAGAGATGGAATTCTCAATTATTTGCTACTGAAACAAGCAGGCAAAGTGCTAAGGCTGCGACCCGTCAGAGGTCAGACCCAGAAAAGCAAGGCCCTGGAGCAGGGCTGCGGCTCTCCCAGGTTCTCCCCACAACTCGGAGGAGCCTCTTCCCCACAAGGCAAAACTTGTCAACCAGTCGTCTCTCTTTATGCTGCTTTTGAACAGAACATCAAATTTAGATGCTGTAACATCAACGATGGCCTCAATTTTACTTCATTCTAATACGAATACGAAATATAAACTCAACCCATTAAAAACTGGAGGAGCGCTATCAGGAGTCTTCACAATCTGAAATCCTGGGCTCTCACTGTTGAACTTGGTCAGCCCTTGAGGCTGAACTGGGGGATTCATTCCAACATCATCTTGTTTGCATGATATGCTTTCATAAATCACTGTTACAGGAAATTTCAAAGCTAAATGTTTGGTGACCGCTATAAACATTTCCAGATGGTTTTGAAATAGAAATCTAATAATTATGATACATGCTTGTCTCCCTACTCGCCCACAACCCCCAAAGAAGTCAATGTAGGACACTTAATTCACAAAAGCACATTTCTAAAATACACATGCTAGCATGCAGCAAAGCGAGGGCATACAATCACACTGACATGCTTTTCTTGGACTTCATCTGTAACCAGGTTGCTGTCCAGTTGCCCGTGCACACCCATGGAGGCCACCACTTTTGCTACAACTGGTAGGACAAGCCAAGCTTGTCTGCATGCACTGCAACCAATTCCCAAAACACTTCGGCTCCATCGTTTTCTTAATTTAATAAGAACACTGATTTTGACCATGACAATGTCCTTTCAGCAAAACCAAGCAATTTTATCTTCAATGTTGAGCTTTCTAATTTACAGGTGCATTTACAGCTTTGGGGACAGAGTGAGCTCCCAAAAGCTTTTTCTTTTATTCCATTTACAGCTTTGAGAGACTAGATGTATAAAAGCTCTGAGTGAAAAAGTTTATTATTGGAATTAACTGATCTTCTAGGTGAAAATCAACATCATTTAACTCCTTTTTCTGCTAATGGAGACAACACTATTAACAGCTATTTCTTCATTTTTCATAGGTTCAAAAGAAAACTTGGAATAAAAAATGAAGGAAATTAACTAAAGAGTACAGTTAATTGATCTGAACGAGGTCAGGTTTCAAGGTTATACAAACACTGTCTGGAACGCACGTGTAATCATCTTGGAGCACAAGCTTCTTAAAATAACCCCCATTTAAAATAGTTGATGATTCTTTTTGAGTAGATTTGTTGTTTCTCCTGATTTGGGGCCAGTATTTATCATTTTAGGTCTCGGGCGGAATGGCAATATGTTGCTAAACATTTTGTGAAGGTTAAAAACTGAAATAGAAATCCTGTACCTAATTCTTCACTACATATACCCTTGCTTTTAAAATGTTTATTATTGTTGCTGAATTTATAGTGTTGTAAAAATAACTTGCAAATAATAAAGTTTAGATTTACATTATAAACAAATGACAAAAAGATGCAGCAAGAGTGTTGGATCACTTTGCTACCGTGATCTACCACAGGGCTGCCCAGTCTTTCCGGCCCAGATTTCTCCTATCTGCCTCTGATTACCCATTGCCACTGGCGGCCTGTGGACTACAGACTACAGCACAACGTGACGCCGCTTCAAGCTGTCCGTGGCTGCCTGGTCTGAGGCACGTGTTCTCAGTACTCATCGTGTATGCCGAGTGGGAGGATCTAGTTCAGTTACATATAGAAAGGGACTGAAAAAGAAGTATTTTAGATTTAAATGTGTTTGCTTTTTTGTATAACGATGAAAATTAATCACTCTGTTATTAGGTGCCATCCAGTCAGTTCTGACTCCTAGCAAACCCGATGTAAAATACAATGAAATACTGCCTAGTCCCTGTACCAGTCTTACAATCCTTCTTATGTTTGAACCCATTGTTGCAGCCAGTGTGTCATCCCATCTTGTTGAAGGCCTTCTTCTTTTTCCCTGCCCCACTATTGACCAAGCATGATGGCCTTCTCCAGGGACTGGTCTCTCCTGATAACACGTCCACAGTGCGTGAGACCAAGTCTTGCCGTCCTTGCCTCTGAGGAGCGCTCTGCTTGTGCTTCTTCCACGACAGATCTGTGGGTTCTGTTGGCAGTCCATGGCACTTTCAACATTCTTCACCAGCTCCATCATTCAAATGCACTGATTCTTCTTTGGTCTTCTTTATTCGATGTCCAACTTTCACATGCATATGAGGCAACGGAAAATACCATGGCTTGGTACAGACTCACGGTTGTTCTCAAAGTTACACTTTGCTTTTCAATGCTCTAAGAACTCTCAAACTCAATGCCAATGAATTAATAGACTATGTCGGTTAAGTCACGCTAAATCTTTATGCTACATCTCTAACAACACTAGAGTTTTAGCAACTTCAACTGGTTTTAAAATCGTTGGATTCACCGCCCCCTTCCCCAATTAAAAAAACAAAACAAAAATAAACCCAGGAAAAGGCACTGAGATGAGTCAATTTCACTCTTAATGACCCTAGAGAATACAGCAGCAGAACTGCCCTGTGGGTTTCAGAGGCTGTAAATTTTTACAGGAGTAGAAAGCCTCATCTTTCTCCCTCAGTGTGGTTGGTGTTTGAACGGCTAACTTTGTGGTTAGCAGTTCAAGTCCTAACCCATCTCACCACCACCACCACCAAGGTTCTCACCCCCACCCCCCACCCCCACAAACCACGCGTGAGGGAGAAGTCTAACAGAGTTGTTCTCTACTCTTGATTTCTAAATCCAACTATTTTTTTCTTCACAAATTACTACAAGCAAATGTCAACACTTTTTTTCTCAATAACTGGACTCATTACTTCACTATAAATATTTTTCCATAAGAAAAATCCAGCAGTTGGTTAACAGTGTAAACTTGGGGTACCAAAGAAGCAGGATAACTAATGTGGACAAGTGATCGCTATGTGTCAGGACATCTCAGAATTGTACATGGGTTGCCCCCCTTAATTCTCCTCACAACTTTGTGAGGTAAGTTGCAGGCAGTCTAACTAACATTTGTTTGGAAAACATGCATTTCTTGCAGCTCAACAGGTATATAAGGGAAGAGTTTAGTGCAATGTGGATGTTGTGTTTGCTTGGGCAGGATTTCATCTGTGAGAAATACCAGGTGAGCACAGAACACTGTCCTTGCTTAGTAGGCTAGATAGAAATGCACCCCTGTGCACACCTCGAGCATCTACCTCGGATCACCGTTGTGTTATGGACCGTGCCGCCCATGCAAGATTGTTGCTGCAACATTTCATCCAATGTAGGATTACCACTTAATTTGAAACAAGTTGCATCCTTGCCAAGGTCCATAAAAGAAGCAAATCATAAGTAATTTTCAAGATAAAAAGTATTCACTGTGCTATTTGCTTATTTAACTATTTAACATTGTGTAAAATTCAGTAACTGTTTTTTCATCATTCCTACATTTTGAATTTTTTAATGGAGTCCTGGTGGTACTGTCAGGTAAATGTCGGGTTGCTAACCACAACGTTAGCAGTTCAAACCACCAGCTGCTCTGCGGAAAGAAGAGGAAGGTAGCTGTTCCCGTCAAGACCAACAGCCTCAGAAAGCCCAGGTAGGGTTGCTATGCACAGGGATTGGCTGGGTGGTAGCGGTTTGGGGATTTTGTCCTTTGTCACTAAGGAAGGTTTTGTATGTGTCTCTAAGAGTATCTCTCCAAGAACCCTTGTGTCTTTTACTGTGCAATTTTGTGCAGTGTGAATGATTTTGGTTGCTGTCAGTTCCAGCTCATACAATCCCCGTGTACAAGAGCGCTGAGCTCGCTGTCATTAAAATGTCATGGTGTCGTGAAAGTCGACATAGTACCTAGAATATCATGACTGTTATGATGTCTTCATACACGCACAGTAGCTAGCCAAATAATTGGTGGTTCCAACCCACTAGTGCAGTGGTTCTCAACCTTCCTAATGCCGAGACCCTTTCATACCAACCATAAAATTATTTTCATTGCTACTTAATGACTGTAATTTTGCTACTGTTATGAATTGGGCGACCCCTGTGAAAGGGTCGTTCGCCCCCCAAAGGGGTCGCGACCCACAGGTTGGGAACCACTGCTCTAGTGGCTCTATAGGAGTATGGCCCAGGAAATCCTCTGGTTCTAATCTGTCAGCAAAATCGGAATCCACTCAACTGCACACGAGAAGAGCAGCAGCAACTTGACTTTGCGTCTGCTGTGGCTACTCTCAGTGTGCCTACCTTACAGGTTACTATAAAAGAAGTAACTAGAAACCAGTATGCTAATCAAGACGGAACTTGTGTCCACAGACTTCCTCGAAAGTTGTGTTTTATAGAACTACATGAAGGTCCTCTCTTGGGCCTTCTTTGTTTCAGCTATGACTAACCAATAATGAAATGTAGTACCCTTGTTCAGAAAGTACAGGATGTATTCGTCTATCTTTATCCAGTGAGTTGGAACATAACCATCGGCACACAGGCAGTTTCCTTCAGCTGTATTAAACTGAGAGCTTTGGAACCCAGCTTCTGGACTGGTCTGCTATACACTTGAGGAAGCTCTTAGATACACAACTGCATCTCACCACCAATTGGTCAAAACAAACTGATTGTTTTGATGCCGTAGAGTTAGCTCATTGGCTTTAAATGACCATGGGTAAGTCAGTGAAACTATCCTGCAGGGTTGCTCGGAGTTGGAATCTATTTCATGGCAGGGGGTGGGATTTCTTATTTCCCAAGAAAAGGATTTTATGAGGATTTATAAACAAAAGTCAGTATTAAAGAAGTACTGTCGCCTTTTGGCTTAGAGAGAGCCTGGAAACAAGATGGGTCACCAGCAGCTCTACTGGAGCCACCGGCGAAAGCTTGGCCAGGGCTCCCGTTCTTGTCACACGTGCTCAAACGGCACGGTCTGATCCGGAAATAGGGCCTCAATGTGTGCCGTCAGTGTTTCGTCAGTATGCAAAGGAAGCTGGACTAAGTGATCTTTGAATGGATTCTCCAGGACAGCTACCCAATAGAAGAAACAATGCCAACTATTTGTGCATAAAATTAAAAAAAATTCACGTCTGAAAATAACCCAACTACTATCAGCTTAACATTTTTTAAGTTGTATGACATAGCCCATTGGGCATGAGACATAGGCTAAAATTGCTTTGACCTACATGTTAAGAAAACTTTTTTACACTTGCATGCTTTATCTATTTTTAAAACTGACCGTGAGCAGCAACAGACACAATTTAGGGTCTGTTTTGCCAAAGTCTCGTTCTTTATTTGTAGAACTGAATACTCCATGGTTTAGATACCTTGGTGAATCTTTCAGTTCTAGAGAATATCTGTCAGCTAAGTTTATGTACAAGATTTACCACAATGTATTTATTTGTGTGTCCAAATGAAATGATAAACTTCCTTACTACCTCAAAATGTTTTACTTGGTGTAAAGCATTTTTTAAAATCAGGCAACAGCCTGCTTTCAGTGTAACTGAAATGCTGCTACTGGACTCCTTGCACCACAGCTATCAACTTTGTGCAAATGCATAAAAACAAACATCTATAACAGCAACAACAAACCTAACCAAAGGCTTAGAGTAAATACATAAAACAGGAAGATTCTGCAGCTGATGGTTAAAAATAGCATTTTTATCATTAATAAGAAGCTCTACAGCAAACTTTTTTCTTTGTTTACCCCATTTTCCCCAAAAGTAGTGTTCTAGCTCTTGGTCTTACCTATTTTTAAGGCAGTTCTAAAGCTTTCAGGAAACACTGGCCTTTTTCATGACGGACCTTATATGTGTGCTGTTTCCAAATTCTGCATGACAAATCAGAAGCCTTACTCAAGAGTCTTACCCTTCGAGGAAGTTTGACTTCTCTCCTCCTTCTACTACAAACTTTCAATTAGTATTTTTCCCCTCTGTCTGACAACATCTCTCACCGTGTTTCTTCCCCACTAGATAAGCGTGTCCTGTTTTTGCACCAACCATCTAGCACCAGACCTGGAACAAAAGGCCACCCAATAAGGGCTGAATGGACCGAAGCTAATCAACAGACCTTCTCTGCTTGACCAGGAGTACAGAAGAAGGTCAGTGTCATTCAGACGGATTCTGGTCGGCCTCTTACCTGTTTGGAGTTGGTGAGATACAATTTTGCTCCCAGATTTAAAATCTGCAGTTTTACCAGATCATCTTCACCTGTAAAGGTTTTAGCCATCTTTCTTAAAACATCTGGGGCAATTTTAGGAACTCGTTCACAATTTTCTCCAATTAGCCACAGGATACTTGCTCGAGCTACAGGAACCTAAAAGGAGAAGGAAATTTGTGTGGTTTGTATGTTAGAAAAATCATACTCGCCTGAATATTAATGGGGAGAACAAGTGATCCATGGTAAAATCTTTACGTCTCATCGAATGGACCTGGATATCTAAGAATTGCTCCTGTGCTTCTGGGTTTCTTTAATTATCAAAAAACACAAAGGAAATCTCCATATTACCATTTTAGAGAGGATAGCGTAGAAAAGATTCTTGAAGTCAAGTCACTAGTCTGAAATCTAGATGCTACCAAAAGTGGACAACTTTGGCAAGTTGGCCAAAGACAGTCCTCCTTGGGCCAAATCTGGCCGGCACACATATTCTGGCTGGCATGCCCAAGTGGTTTCATATTCTGGCTGCTTCTGAGCTGTAACGGCAGAAGTACATAGCAGCAACAGAGACCACCTGGCCTACAAAGTTGAAAACACGTACTATCTAGCAACTTTAGGAAAGGCTTGCCAACTTCTGCTGTAGAGCACGGGTTCTCATGCAGTGACCATTGTGAAAAATCATCTCGCATTCTTAGTGAAACTGTAGGTTTTTGGTATCAACTGCAAAAGCGTCCTGTGGTATTGAGGTGCCAGTGAGTCACTTTAGACTCATGGTGACCCTGTGGAATAGAGAGCAGAACTGCCCTCCAGGGCTTCCTAAGCTGCCATTCTTACAAGAGCTGATCACCAGCTCTTGCCCCTGGCCAGGATCTCTGGTGCGTTCAAGCTGCCCACCTTTTGGTTAGCAACCACGTGTCTAATGATGGTGGCACTGGGCTCTTTAAGAACATGACTAAAAGCAAAACCAACCAACCAAACAGAAAAATAAAACATAACCGCTGTGGCAGGGCCCAGGAGTCTAATGTGCTGTGGCAGGGCCCAGGAGTCTAATGTAAAGAAGCACCACACACAATTTCCGAGACAGGTGATCACAAACCGTGCCTTGAGAACCCATGCAGAGTAGAGCAAAAGGAGTAAATACTGAGATTCAAAAAAAACAAACCTATCTGGGTCCTTCAGGTAATTGCATCCCACCACTGGAAATAACAAAATTATAGGATCTTTATGGTCTTCTTATCAAATGATAAATTCTGGTCTATAATTTGGTCATCACAAAAGAAATACAGGCATAATAAATTTGCCCCAATACTTTATTTTGGCATTAAATAGATTTTAAAATAAAGTACAATATCATTTATGTCTTTAAAAAAAATCACTGCTTAGCTACAAATTGGAAACCTTCCATTAATACCATTAACACCAACACTGTAGAGTATGCAAATTAGTGTTATGACTATTTGCTTATTTATAACCTGCCCTGTTACAAGCAGAATTTGAGGTGGTATGTAAATTAGTTTCTGTGAGCATTTTCACCTACCATAGAAAATTTGCTTTTTCTAATAAATACAAAGTCAATGGTTTTCACTAAAGGATAATGTAATGAGAAAAGATAATACATTTTTTATTAAATCCTTGTCCAATTCCTCAAATTAAGTCCTGATACTTTCTGTGTCATTTCACAGTTATACACAGCATGCCGGTTAACATTTCTTTTTTAACACTGAGAATAAGGGCTGTTCGCAGCTAAAATTTTATCACAATTTCTACAACCTCAAATTCTTTCAAAATACCCAATTTACAGAACAGTATAAAAACAAGACAACAGTAAGTTGCCCTTTCCTCCGAACCACAATGAGATCTTTAAAGAAAAACAAACCCTCAAAATAGAAAATTACATAGTTTCAAATATTATAACATCATCTTCAAATTACTATTTATTTTTCAAATTACTATTTAAAATAAGTTTAGTAGCAGAGAAGAAATCAGTATCAGAGAAGAAATCAGAAACCAGTATATAATAGAAAAAAAAATTAAAGGCCTAGGAACTATTATAAATCTATTCATGCAGTGTAATAAAACTCATATCCTACTGTATATACTGACTTCTGGGAAGAAAGAAGTTATTTCTAATGTTCCAAAGGTTACACTGCATTAAGACCTTACTCCTAATCGGTTATCTTCAACTGGACTACAGAACGGTAATTGAGTGGGACATTAAGTTTTCCAGTATGGAGAGTCCGGGTTGGAGCCATAATGAAAAGGACTTCTGAATAAGAATATACGAGCAACCTCAGCTTCCAGTCATGCCAGATTTACTTTCTTAAATAGTTTATTACATATTGCTAGGGTAAGAATTCGAATTCTCTGACACAAAGCAATCTGTCACCATACTTTAATTTTCTTCTGGTAACAAGTAACGTAATCTTCTCTGAAAATTACAGAAACTACGCACAAAAGAAGGAAGATGTTGAGAGAGGGTTAATATTTGTGAGTACAACAATACTTCATTAAAACTCTAAGATTCATAATGCATATACAACATGTATGCCAAGTTAAATGCTGCAAAAACGGAAAAAACCTTGCCACAAGAAAGAGCACCAAGAGTGTACCGAACTTTTGGTGATGTTCTTTTATTCAAAAGGTTAGGGAACCAAATCTTCATGCCTACCCTCTCTCTCTTCTTCCCAACTAAGTGACAAGTCTCCCCAATGTCCACCAATGCTTCTGTGACTCTACACTCAAATGTTTGAGACAAATGAAAAGACAATTTAAAAAACTTAATGTTTTTTTCTCTTGGTGGTCTTTTTGAGCCACTGGGAAAAAAAAAGGAACCACATCCTAAGACCAAATAAATGCATACATATACATACAGAGCCCCACATACACTTCTTTCAATAAGAACCTCTCGGCTTTTCAATATTTTCAAAGACTAACCGCATTGTAAATGACGTAGCCTGATTCTTTATTCTAAATGCCCTGAGCAAGTAGTTAAGTGCACTTTTCAACTAGAAGGCAGCTTCTGCTGCCATTTTAACCCATTAACTTGCCTACAAAAACAAATAATGATGCTGAGCAACCTCAGCAGTTGCAGAAAGACATCTAGAAAGATTTTACAGATCACTCTGTAAGCAGTTCAATTTAAAATCCATTGTGCTTCTACACCGGTCTACTGCACAATGCAATAGTCTAAAGTAAATCCAAAGAAAACATCAATTTTATTTATTTAAATTTGTCAAAGGCAAAGCAGTAGACATCTCAGCAAATTGCATAAAAACAGCCAATCAGAACCAATTTCTGTATTGGGGTCCAATATACTTTAAAACTTAAGCCAGAATTAAGTTGGGGGAGCAGGCTGAGAGTGGAGAGCTTGTGAAACAGCAGGTATCAAGGTGCACACAAAGTATTAGCTCAACGTTACTCACAGTCATCACATGGTAGCCTCTCTCAAGTGTTTCTTTTACGATACGAAATCCCCACCCGTCTCATCAAACGTGAAATCCTGCTAGAGCAATCCTGTGGCAGAATTCTTTTGATTCTGGAAGAACTCCGCTCCAACAGTGACTACAAGTGAAGTGTACTCCCAAGGATAGCCCTTTCACCATCAGTTGACTGCACCACTGACACCATTCTATTCAATTTGAGCAAACTCAAGGGGTACCATAAATTGATGTGGTTTTCACATTTGCAACCAAGCCATGTGCTTAAACACCAACAAAGTAAAAGCCTTGAATTATGATCAGAGCTTTAAAACATTAAATTTTTTTAAAAAGTTACATGTCTAATGTCTATTGAACGCTTAGCATGTGCCAAGATTGTTTATAAGCACTTGACATAGTTCAGTTGAAAATGTTTAAGATGGAATAAATGTTATAAATTTAAAACCTGACCTCTTTCACACTGAGGTGAAAATAAATGCTAGCTGCAGACCATTTATCATTAAAACTCTGGAGTTTGAAAAGAATAACACAGAAAAAGAGACAGTAAGCAAATGGGTATACTTAAGAAAGTGAGATTAAGAATGAATTAAACGCATTTAGCAAGTATATTCTGAGGATGTACTTTGAGCCGGTACACATAGCAAATTTCCACCCACTAGTTTTAGAGTTTGTTCCTTCTTGCCTGAGTCACTGATCATTTTGATAGTTGGGGCACTGTGGTTTTCTATTCCAGCTTTCCTTCAACGTTTATTGTTTCTGAACTGTACCAAATAGCTTTCCTCTCCCTCTTGTCTGTCTGTCCGATGGTCCATTCATTCATTCAAGAATTGTATAAACCCACCAATTCCTTTTTCTTTTTAATTCACTTGTCTTTGTTTGCTGGTGGAAGCCCTTCAAGCTGGCTTTAAGGTCACTGTGACATGTCTCCATCATCCTCTGAGCTATCCCTTACTAATGAAGGGAAACAAAATGTGCCAGACTGTTCTTGCCATAAAGCCTGCCATTTCTCTATGGAGCCAGGGGCCCCTTTAGTAGAGAATGGGATTTGAAAACCAAGGTGGAGCATAAAGAGGTTACATATGACTATACACCCGAGTCTGAGAAACCGGATGCTAAGTGAAAGAAGTGAGACACAAGAAAGCGAACACATATTGTAGGATTCCACTGATAGGATCTGTCCCCAGTAGGCAAATCTATAGAGACACAAAGCAGATTGGCAGCCGCTGCAGACTGGACTGAGCAGGAGAATGGAGTAACTACTAATGGAGAAGGGTTTGTTACTTGTTAGGGATTATGAAATTTTCCTGGAATTAAGGCAGGAGTGGCGATTACACACCTTACAGATATACTAAGGGCTTTGAACTGTAAACTTTAAAAGAATGAGAAAAAAGATGTAGGCACCAAGTGTGTTCATTTTCAGTGATGTGTAATTGCTTCTAGGCCCTCTCAAAAGAGCTGGAAAATAAATGGCCACATAGTAATTTTTATGTTTGCGCATATACACTTGAAGACATGTACACATGAAGATACATATACATATATATATACACACACACATCTAGCTATCTCTACTAAAACTATGAAGCTTACATAGTTAACGCCAATTCCCATACCACATTGAAAGGTTCCGATCCACGCTTTCCCTATCTAAAACACCCTTCTACAAAACTGAAAAATTTTAGAGCCAAGCATTGAATCCTAATAGCTCAGCTCTCTTAACCACTACACTAGAATATCCACTTATTTAAACAAGACTATAATTTACTGAGTACAATTGTGATCAATCCAGCAAGCACCTCAGTGAATACTCACAGTGATACTGTCTAAGAGTTTGGCCATGTGTTTAATGATTTCAGCATGTTGCGCAGGTTGCGTTTGCAGCAGCTTCTTAATAACCACCACACTTTCAGCAACAACTATTTCTGGAGAAGGTAGAAATGATTCATATTATACACGTCATTCAAATGCAACATGTTTGGCAAGATAAAGACTTCAACCAGTAAAACCTTTTACCTGCCTTAAGCGACTAGGTGGAAACCGTAGAGAGGAGTGTCCTCCCAGTGTTTGAGGGGTTAACAAGACACCTCAAATACAAGAGCGGCTTTTAACCTCAACAGGCTGTGTTTCCTAGCTTCTGACGGCACTTCCCCAATCTCTCTAGTTCAGGGAAGCAACGTGGAGTTAAACAGGTTACCAGAGTAGACAAGCACCTCCAGCTTTTTATCAGGGCTCTCAAATACTTTGAGTCCTATCAATTACAGATCAAATGCCTACAATGTGATATTTTAGGTATTTTAAAGTGAGCACTAAGAATTATTAGCAACAGGAAAGGTGTTACCATAGACTAAGCACGAACTGCAGTGCCAGAAAGATCTGGGATTGTGAGTGGGAATGTCTCCATTTGACCCACCAACCTACTATCTGCTTGAGGCTCTCCCTCCAACCAACCCTCGCCCGCTCCTCTGCACCCCCTGTAAACTGCGGGAGAGGCTGCCTTCTGTGGACTGCATCATCTAGATTCGCTTGGCCTGGCTCCTGGCTGAGGTTAGCCGATGGCCTCACCAGTATCAGACCAGGGGAAGGAAGGAGAAATGGAAGTCTTTATTATTCTGGATCCCTCCCTACCAAGAAGCCCTACTGGCACAGTGGGTAAGTGCTTGCTGACAAAGGAACGGTTGGTCGGCCAGCCAATCTACAGGAGAAGATGGGGCAGTCTGCTTCTATAACGATTTACAGCCTTGACAGTCGCTATGCGTCAGAACTGACCCAATGCCTTGCCAGGGAGTTTTGAGGTTTCAGTTATGGGGTTGCTGTAAGTCAGAATTGACTCACTGGCCATGGGTTTGGTAATATTTTTTTGAGGGGTTAGGAGGGAACGTTATCCCTCCCTGCCAGGCGGCC